GGGGGGGCCTGCCATGCCCAAGAGAGAGAGGAACAGGGCCCGCCAGGCCAAGGGGGTGAGGTCACCATTTAGAGGAACTAAGGGACGAGAGCCACCCAGTGGAGGAGATCTGTACAGATGCTACCCAATGAAGATCTGTACAGATGCCACATTGACAAGGGGTGGAATTGTGGTAGTTCAGTTTGTGTGTCAAATTGGCTGGGCCTGGTTGAGTGGCTGGGCAGCTGGATGTAGTATTCCCCATAATGAAACTGGTAATCATTTCCATGGTGGAATCTACTGTGAGCAGCTGAGTAGCTGCCTTAGGGATGTAGTCTGCTTCCTGTATATAAGGAGAAGCCTTGGGGAATGGTCTCTAGTTTACGATACACTTGGACCCTGTATGTAGCTGTGTCATTGTTCAGCAGGCTGCCATGCCCTGCCGACCTTGGGACTTACAAGGACTTAAATTAATGGCCTGCTGTGTGGTTTGGTAACATGGGGACTGTGCCTTTTTACTTGTCAACCTTGGGTTTGTCAGCCTCAGCAGCCAGCAGCTGTCAGAGTGAAGAAAAGCCTCTGGCTCCACTGGGCCAGAGCAGCAGGCAGAGCTTGCCCAAGGTTGAGGGGCTTTCAGCCAGCCCCTAGAGCCTGGCACTTTGAACTTGGACTTAAAGCCTCCAAATTGTAAGAATAAACTTCTGTCTGTTAAGGCCATCCCATTTGTGGTATATTCTTGTCAGAGCGGCACTCGGTAACCAGAACCAAAGGGTATCAGTATAATTCACATTCTTAATATTTCCTATCGGAAAATGCTATTCCTTTGCTTCTTTATTCCCTTCCACAAGCACAGATAATATAGCTAGACTGAAAGGCAATCCCAAAAGAATCAATGAATGGACAGCCAAAAAGAAAACATTTTCAGCTTATGTCTAAAACTTGATATCCTAACCTCATATATCTCCAGAACAATGATTTTGATGAAGTCTTCATCCACGTTGGTTCTTTTGGCTTGTGCCATTTGAGCAAATGTAGTCAGAAGGCAAATCTCTTCTGAACTATTCATGGAAGAAAGACACTTCTCAAAGTTCAGAAAATGCTCTGGGTCTGCAAGTTCAAATCAAGAAAATTAAAGAGGAAATTTACATCAGTTTAAATTACTTTGCCAGAGGGAAAGAGGACATAATGTTAAAAGGCATTCAGAAATCCAGAATGGTTTTGTACAGGCATCGGGGAAGAAGGCTGACCAGGTGGTCTCTGAGAGTCCCACAAACTCTAAATATAATATAGTCTCAGAGGAGACATTTAACAGCTCCAGCCCCAGTTTCCTCATCTGTTTCAAATAGTTACTTAAGAAGGTTAAGTGACATGTCACTGTCAAAGTGCTTTCTTAACCATAAAAGCACTGTCATTGTCAGAAGCCTTTGGAGACAGTACTGCCAGTTCCAGGCACACTGAAGCTACTTGATAACTGTCAGCCTACTGAATAAAACTGCTGTGACTAGCAACTTCTCAGCACAAACATGGCATTTTAGAAAAAAAAAAAAACCAGACTGGATGGAGCAAGAAATTATGGTTATAACCCCAACTCCAATGCTGACAGATATACTAAGCAGGATGTCACAACGGTTAAGCACTCGACTGCTAACCCAAAGGTCGGTGGTCCAAGACCACAAGTGGCTCCACAGAAAAATGCACCTGACAATCTGCTACTAAAGATTGTAAAGTCTATGGGGTTTCCTATGGGTAGTCCTACTCTATCCTATATAGTTGCCATGAGTCAGAAACGGACACAATAACAACTATACTTTGCCAACTTGTCAGAGGATGGATGCCATGTAAGCCTAGAGGGCAGTTCTACTCTGCCCCATAGGGTGCTATGAGTCAGAATTGATTCTACAGCAAGGGGTTTGGTTTTGGCTTTGTAGGCAACATTGTATTTTGTCACCAGGTGGCAACATGAACAAACTTTGCAATGTTGTTGGCCCTGACTCATAGCGACCCCTCCTTGGGTTTCCGAGGCAGTATCACTATGGGAAGTAGATTGCCCAACCTTCCTAATAAACTAAAACCTGGAAAGGCCAATTTTGGGGAGGGGGTCTGTTTGAAAAAAATATTCCCCTGATGGAATGTTTTGCACTGACGAGGTAACAAGCCAACAATTCTCTTCACATGCATACAAATTTGAGAAATCAAATCCAGTTTGTCAAATTTCTACTGTCAAAATAGCCCTGTGTGGCACTTACCGAACCAGTGTGTATTTTCCATCCCAAAACTAGATTTGTAATAGAAATCAGTACAAAGCATCCCTAGAATATACAAACTGGAATTATCATTCTGACAGTGTTTCTTTCAAGATACGTATCAAAGGACAGGCCTTACTTTTTTTCAAAAAAATCTGTAAAAAGAATAAAGGGGAAAGAGAAATAATAACTTTCTACTTAGGTTTTAAAACATTATCATTGAAGTAGAAGAAAATATGGCAAAAACTTTGAAAAGTAAAAGCTGAGAAAACAAAAAGTATTAACTTAAAGAGAAAAAAGGATTTTTCTCTGGGTATTTTTTAAATGCTATCAGCATTTTTGTGTTTCTACTAAGTTTCTTTTTTTTATGTATGGGTGATTCTTAAAAACAATTAGAGCAGACATCCAATTAAAAATAGTGTAATTTTTTTTTATTTTTAACATTATGATCTGTGATGGTTATGTTTGTGTGTCAACTTGGCTGGGCCTGGTTGAGTGGCTGGGCTGCTGGATGTAGTATTCCCCATGATGAGACTGGTGATCACCTCCATGGTGGAATCTAC